GAGAAAGAAGAAGAAAAAGAAGAAAAACCGAATATATATATATATATATATATATATGTACATTTGATGGGCTCGATTCATCTGCTAGACGGTTGTCTATCGTCATCATCGAAGTACGCAAGGAACGTACGAGGAAAGTTATTAAGGTCAGTGGTGTAGCGACGATCACGATGTAACCCGGAGATACACCGGTATTTCGTCGTATTTCGTACAACGAGATACATACGCGGCATTAATCGTTAAAATCGTTTCGCGCAATCAACAATTCTATCGATCGAACGCACCATAATTCGAACCCAATTTCGGTTCGAATCGATTTATGGCAATAATAATGATTACAAATAAATTCTTTGTTCGTATTGTTTCATAGCGGAAGCAATAGAACGCCAGGCGTATATTAGCGTAAAATAACGATCGAAAAAGAACGATTTCGATCCTTAATCGCGACGATTAATTTTTTTTCTACGAGGTCTCGTCGTATATACGTCGTCTTCTCCGATTCGAGGCTTCGATTATTTTCTAATCGATCGCGATCGCTTCGCCACTTATCTTTCTCGCCACGTTCGTTTCGGATAAACTCGGACTCCAACCGAGGCGGAAAAGTCACAAATTTGTCGTCACGATCGAACGGATCGAGTCGTGTCCAAAGGATATCGGCGACGATCGAACGATCCACGCTTTAATAATCGTTTATATCCCGTTTAAACCGCGCAATATGCATCTTGGTCAACGATGGTTGCGTCGTAAAGCCGACCACGCAATCCTGCCACTGGCTCGCGTTCGTCGAGTTGCGACGCCAATGCGAGGAGATCGCGGAGGCGCACCTAACCTATAAAGAGACACGGAAACGTGATGGAATGCGCGCCAACGAACGCCTGCGTCACTCCGCAACACCGTTCCATCATCACCTGGATATACCTCCTTCCATCGTTCTATTTTTAATCGATTTTAGACGAGAAATTGACGAGATCGAGAATACGATATCTACTTGAATTTGTTTCGATTCAATTTCTCGAAAAAACTAGATATATCACAGACATATCTTATACAACTTATCTATCATTGTATCGGAAATACAATGAATTTCGTTTATAATAAAACGAACATTCTTTCGAGTTTCGATCTATTTCGATCCTCTTCGAAATTATCGATAATCCAAGGATTATTATAAGATAGGAATAAAGAGAGAGAGAGAGAGAATTTTCGTCTCTTCTAGTTTCGGTCAAAAACGAAGGAGAGAAAATTTACGGAAGAAAAGATTTATCCGCGCGACGATAGAATCTTTTTTCTTCTCTTTTTCCTTTCGAGGATACCAGAATGGTTCCACCTGCATCGAGGCACTTAAGGTAACTTATTCGCGATCAAAAGGAAAGACGCGAATGCCCGCTATCTCGAATTTCGTAACGAACGCTACGCGATACCTATTTTTCGTTTGTCGCTTGGCTCGCTCGCCGCTATACACAGGTGACACCGTCGCCGCCGTCTCTGCGTCGCGAGAAATTGCGAGAACGACGCGACTGTTTTTGGCTCGATTTCGATGATGCGCGGACGTCTTTATTTACGGAAAAGGACAAAGTACTTAACTTCGTAGGCGAGGAGATCCAAATTGAATTCGAGGACATCGAGTATACACGCGTATACCTTGCCCGAGAGAAGATTGCTACGTACGTTTCGAAACGTTACACACATCGACTCGTTCGAAATTCCCATTTTGTTTCCCCCCCAAAAGAATTCGAGGAATGGAATCATCGCGAATACGTATCGAAAGATAAATACGTATGTGAGCATAATTGGACGAAAAACGTTTGTCACATTTTATTATTATTATTATTATTTCATCTATCGCGACAATATAATTGCCCGCTTTATTTTATATTCATTGGCACTTGTGCACGGGGATAACACCTCTCGAATAGTTTATCCGATACGGTAAAATGAAAGTGATGTGGGACAGATATGCGGGGTCACGATCGGGGTGTTAGGGAGGAGATAGTCGAAAGAGGGAGAAAGAAAGGGATGCGATGGTTAGAAACGGCGGCGGGGGCCAATCACGACGACGACTCGTGGCGCCTTAATTGGTGCTGGCGCGCGTGGCTCAGACTTGAGAAGCGAAGAGCGCAGCGGCAGATGCATCCCAACGCTCGTTCGCAACAGGAAATTCCTCCTCTCTCGCCGCTCCTCTTCCGACATTCCAGCTTCTACGCATATTTATGCGAAACGTCCTTCCTCCCATCTTCCTCGTTTTTCCCATCCGTTGTACATATCCTTCGCCGTAACATCGGCACGCACACGGTGTTCGGACACGCGGGCGGGGATTCGATGAATGGACATTGACTGCGCAAGCGTTGGAGGAGAGGAGCGTCGATGAATCGAGCGCGATTATCGTTCGTAGCACGAGCGATCGATGGCGAATCGGGTGGAGAAAGATCCAACGGTTAAGATTACACGGACGATCGTCACGCGATCCAATCGAACGAAACTGCGTAAAATGAAGATGGAGAAATGGCAAGTCAATGTACATAGGCGCATAGGCCCTCGATATTCGTGGGCGTGGGGATACGATCGATGATTTGCGAAATCTTGGACGTTCGAGAGTTTCGGAAATTATCGCGATACTTTTTCGGGATTAATAATTGGAACGGAAGTAGGAGATTATGCTCGTGAGAGAGAGAGAGAGAGAGAGGGGAGACCGTTCTCACCGCGAAACGTCGATAAACGTCGAAGCGGCATGGTCGGCGAGTGGCCGGCGTCGTTTTAACGATTCGCGCGTCACAACGACGCTCCACGAGTAAATCTCCCTCGGGGCTGGGAGGACGGAGAGGCGCGCGAAGGCGAGAGACGTGGGTCGCGAGTGTGGTCGAGCGCTTACTACGCGCTACGCGACGACTACGCGTTCACGGCCCGTATGAATGTACGGTGGGCCGCGCGTACGTACGTACGTACGTGGGACGGTGGTGTGGTGGCGTTTGCGGCCGTGCATTCATAAAGTGGCGGACACGTAGCGTGCGCGTGCGCAGCTCGTCGCCTTCTTCGTCGCCACTCCTTCCTCTTTTCTTCCTCTTCGCTTGCCACCCTTCCTGCGACTAATACGCATCCCCCTCGCGGCCACTCGTATCCTGTACACACTTTTTACATCCGCTGCTAACTGACAAAGCCGCCTCCGTTGCATCCACCATTTCAT